TATATATATATATATATATATATATATATATATATATATATATATATAATATTTATATATTTATTTATTTATTTATTATTTGTTTAGTATATAGAATATATATCTTGATGAGATGTAATTGGTTCCTTTTGTATTGAAGATATTGTTTTCTTTAATGTATAATACATTATAACTTACTACTATATTACGTGTAATGTGAAGAGACGTGACTTATAAATATAATAAAATATAAATGAAGTTATACAATGTATCATCCTATTCAAGGAAACACATGATGAAATTCACCGAAATCAACTCCCTCAATAATGCACATTGTTTTTTTTAGTCCTTTTAAATTTTTTGAAATAATTGATATTTTCTTCGTTCAACAATAGCTTTTACTTCATTAAATAATAATATTTGTCTAATTTAGAAAATGAAGAGATAACTTTATCTTTTCTGTCTATTTTATCATTGAAATTAAATATTATTTTCATCCAATACATATTTCAAAACACTAAATTTAATAAAGTGAAAAGATAATATAGTAATATTACCCCTATTATTTATTGTTTCTCAAGTAATATGTCAAATTAATATCTCAAGTAGGATGAATATAATTAGATTGATCAGTTATTCGTGACAAATTTTTGAAATCTCACATTTCTAGCTGTTTGAAATATACAAGAGTGGCGTCAAATTAATTTAAACAGTTTCTAGCTTGTATAGTTGGTGACTATGACTGTGCCCCTGAGTCCTGAGTTTCTCAAAAATCTTTTTATAATAACATGGTTCAATCGGAGATTTTTAATTGCGATATTATTATTAAAAAAAGACAATATGATATAATATGAAAGATAGTATCAGAAAAAGCTTAGGCTATTCAAATGAAATGCTATTAGTATCAGAAAAAGCTTAGGCCATTCAAATGTAATGCTATTATAAAAAATATGATTGTTACGTAGACATCTAACGTTAAAGTCCCTTACAATGGATCTAGTTATCGGACACCGCAAGACAAAATTAAAGTTAATGTAGAGCGAGTTAGGATTTTGGAAATTATTTTTCTTTTTTCGACCGATAATGTTGATTCCTGAAAAGAGAACCTCCCATCTCTTAAATTAAAGTATTCAAAAACTACATAATTTTCTACATATATTTTCATTACATTCAAATAACACTAAACACAACAAGGATGGATTAACAAAGAAATCACTTCCTACTACCACTGAAATAAGAAAGTGAAGCATCCTTACTGCAAATAACTACTACACAGAAACAAAAATAAATAAATAAATAACTGATAAGTTAAAGTTCTTTTTAAAATCTTTCATGTGTAAGCTGTTGTTGGTAGACTAAAGGGTGCTAAAAGTTCAAAAATAAATTGATTTTGTACGCAATTTCACATGGGTTGGGGGTGTGAAAACATCAGTTATTTCAGGATAAGATTGCACGACTAAAATGAGAATCTTAATGGTTTTCCATGCACATATATAAAAAATAAATAGATAGGTAAATGAGATCCAGTCTGTTTTTGTCCAATGTATTAATAACAGACATGGCCTAGCAAAAGAGTAGAGCAGACCTTTCAGGACTTGGACTGACAAGGTTGTATCAAGTTGACTACTATTAAATACACAACATGTTTTACCACTCGTGTGATTCATTAGTCATTACTTAATATCATAAATCTCACTTATAATTCAGATGATAAACACGTTGTGCCTTTAATCTTTAATGTTATGAGTTTTGAGTCATCATAATAAATGAAAGCTTCCTAGGAGAGTATTAACACAAAATAACCCTTATATTTACAATATTCTAAAAGAAACTATTGACTAATTATATGTTGGATAATGTCAATATTCTACCTATGACAACGTTCACCAAGGGTTGGGGTGGCCCGAATCAGAATTATGATCGAATAAGACGCTTGCTTAGTGGACTTAATTTAGAAATAAAGTTGTGTTACTATCAATTATAATTTTTGGCATGTTAATAAAAGAAGATAAAAGTTTTTATAACTCCGATCATATTGTTGTACACATATATTTTTGATGACAAGGGAAACCCGCAGTCGCTATTCTTTGGGTGCGAATAGGGTAAAACCCCGGCTACTATGCAATAGCTCGCAATTCACATAGAAAAGATATTCCACACTAGGCAAGCCTAGTGTGACGAGCTCGATCCAGAAGATAAGCTATCGCTGGCGAGGTGTTTTGAACTTTCAAACATTCAAAATAGCAAGCATTAAAACTGAAAGTAGAATCAAGACGCACCTTAAAGTAGCTGCATGTCTGCAGATGCTATTTAAGAGTCACTTATAGATTTAACATTTGAGGTACTTATTATCATAGATACTTACATGAGAAAAATATCTGTCACTGTGTACATTTATAGACTCCTCGCTGTGGCACTGCTTCATCTCTACAGAGCAGGAGAGTATGATAGGTTATTTTCATTCATCATCCTTTTTATGCACAGGTTGAACCACCTCAACAACCATGCCTGTTAGCATTCATAAATGCCTCACTAGTACAAGTAGATGAGATCACTGCATTTTTTAATACTGAAACAAGTTCTGCATCTTGCACTTGGTGACAGTAAAGAGAAAGAAATCTATTAATCAAGAGGCACGAAGGGCATAATAGAAAGTTTGATAAGTCTTACTATCATACAACAACTCATCTAGTGTAATCTCACAAGTGATAAAGTCTCACTATCATATTAGGATGAATTTACATTTTACACTGAATTCGTGAGTGTGATTATCTAAGCTCTACATTTAAATTTTGTCAATAAAAAGGCTTGTTCGATAGTACGATAAGCAATCTAAAATCTCTTCTTTACTCATCTAAGAATATCTTGAAGCTGGTTGACTCTAATTGTCTTGGTAGGGCAGAGCTAGTAAGGATTCAGTGGAGAGTTACACCATCTATATATACATGGTTTAAATTATTGTTTATGTATTTATAGTAGTTGTTCAACCCTCTTCGACTTCTTCATGTGTTTACATCTTATTTGTTAAATATTAGTAGTGAAAATCCCAACTCCGCCATTGTGTTTTGGAATAGTAAGTCTAATCCTTTGTATCTTATTCAAGGCCTTGGATTGAGAATAGACATGTCTTTTATGCCAATTTTACTTCATACAAAGCAGTTATTTCCTTCAATGGACCCAACTAAGGATAACAACCTTACTTGTGTGAGCCGTGAGGAGCTAATGGACCTGGGATATCATTTCTGTACAAATCGTGTCACAATCCAACGAATCTGTTCAAGAGAGTTCAACAAAAAGCAACTTGTGTTATTATTCTAACAAATATCAATTCAATGAGGCAATAAATGTTCTCTTTGATAATTGGTGAACTAGATCAATACTTACAATGTTATTTTCAGGATCTCTCCAATAAAATCCTTGAATAAAAATCACAGCTATATTTGATGTTATGAGAATAAAAATACTAAGAGAATGCTTTCCCATCCACTCTAAAACGAACATCAAGCGCCTCCAACCATAAATGTCCACCTAAAGTTCATAAGATTTGCAGGACTATCAACTTTTTAAATCAGAGTGAAAGCGACAAGTGATGATTATATTGAACAAAAGAGACACACGCCAGGGGGTTTCTATTTTAAAACTAACCAATAGATATAACAAACAGAATGTGATTCCACCAGCAGCTGAGGTTACCAGCATATAACTTATCGTGTACAATGATTTGTTTAATGGCATGCCTGAAAGGAAAAGAACAGAAATGTCAAATTTCATGGTGGCTAGAAGCATTTTTGTCTTGAATCAAGTTGAAAATTTGTTAGTTACTCCAGTTGATTATGCGTTGATATCTAAAAGTAAAAAAAGACGTACCTATGAAATCAAGGAACAAGCCAACCACAAGAAGTGAAAGCGAGAGGATTGACCAATTGTATAGCCGTCCTTTATGATCCTGAACAGTCGTATAAATTATATCTATCAATTATATGCAGTACTGTAATAATCTGGCACTAAGGCAAATTTATTAATGCTAAAGTTGAATGACAGTACCAAGACCCAAATATACTTCTATGGAAAGATTAGACATATAGGAAAACTCTTTTGAGTAACCACCACTTATGCAGTTCAATACATAACAATGATGAAGCCGTCTAATCGGGACCAAATAATAATAGAAAACTGTTGGATTGCTTGAGACCTGAAGCATTCCTTCGTTTTCTCCTGTAATAAAAACCTTTCCTAACACTTAAAGACTCAGAATAGAAATAGAGGTAAATCACTCAGCAAATTATACCCCATGGCTCACCTGAAATTGAACAAGTATGTGACCATACTGGAGACCGATGATGGATGTAGCAGCAGCTGTTAGTGAACTGGAAAAAGATAACCAACGTCAGAAGTTGTTAAACAACAAACTAGAGAATAAGTGAAATTAGAAACATGACAAGACTAAATAATAAGTACATTTCGTAGGAGAATTTGAGGTGAAGAATAATGAGAGATTTGTTACCTTACAATGCCTTCAGGATCAAAAGTGGCATGACACCACGAAGGCATACTCTCAGAAACTGTGTCTCTGTTGGATCCATTGCATTCCTGTGAAAAGATTAATATTGGTCATGAAGGGTCTAACTGTGAGGTCTGGACATAAACGTGTCGGCAGTGCAGTTCAGTATAAGACTACCTTCATATTTCTATATACAGGTTTTGTGTAGAGGTGATCTAAACCAAGAATATAGCGATCAATCATCCCAGCAGAATTACATGCAGGTCCAAGATCTCCTCTAACAGAACATTTTACCTGCAAGTAGCAACAAAATTTACCATATTATATTACAAATATAAAATAATTGATAGAAAGTTTTCCAACTCGATCAATTAGGAATAGAACTGATCATACACAGCAGTAACAAGGGACCAGTCATTTTTAAGGTTCTATCCGGTTAAAGTGATAATAAGTTCCTATAGGATAAGAATTGATCAGAAAAGAGCAAGCGTTTTACATGCTAAATCCAAGGTAGAAAAATTAGTACTGATATCACTCAAAGCAGTAATGACTCATCACATTCATCTTTAAGCTTCTGTAGAGTTCTTAATGTGTTACTTGGAGCGACTCACATAGTCACATTGTTATACTTTTTAGAATATAGTTCAGGTTAAGGGGAATAGAAAGCATACAGATGCTAACCTCATAAATGGTGCTTCCAGTTGACTGCGACACACTGAATTGCCAGTCAGGGACATACAGGCCATATAACAACCCACAATGTATAGCGGACAATAGGAACATGATAAACCTACAAATGAAGTAAAACATTGTTAGGTAAAAGTAGAGACAAAGATAACCATAGAGGACAAGAAACAACACTACATAAAAGAAGATTGATAATAAGACTGCCAATATTATTGCTGTTGGACTCACTAGTTCCCCAATAAAAAACACAAACTTCACCTGTTTTGCCTATTCAACTACCTGTTAATAACCAATGAGGCCTAGTTCAAGTAGTTAGGTTGAGACCTTTTACCAACATGTCATGGATTTGACTTCCACCAGCGACAAGCTAGATTTTTATCTAATTTAAAAGGGGTTTAATGTCTACTTATGAGAAGTTATTTTTTTATTTTTTATTTTTATAATTGTTAAATGAAGTTCACAGTATCCACTAAGGAAAAGAATCTGGCACGCGAGTTATACCTTCATGATGCAGAAACAGAAGATATATGTAGTACTCCTAACAATTGCACAATCAAAACAAAAAATCTACCTGAAAATCAGGGATGTAGTCGTCTTACCATTGGCAAATATAATTTCTGAAAAGGGCAAATCTTTTCATTTCTTGACATGGAAGCCATACCTCGCACAAAGCTGCTACAATATATCCAACAGCTATTCTCTGCATGAATGAAAAGAAATTTATACTACTCTGAACAAGTAATAGAAATGAACAGATTACATGCATAAGTTCTTCATCTGCACCTATCTTTTGACCTAGTGACTAGCAATCCTTCTAACAAAAAAATGAAAACTTCTTATAATAATCAGGGAAACCAGATTAAGATGCTAATCTTGAAGAATCAGCATCTATCACAAAAATTGCTAAATAGGAAGTCAATCCAAAGCACTTCAGTGAAACTAAAATGAACAACATGAGAAATAACTTACAGGCTAAAGCAGAGGAATGAGGGGCATAAGTGATTAGAAGTCTAACTAAGAAAGACTTACGAACCACTTAGGAAGGATAAGAAACATAGCTATAAAGCAAAAGAAGCCATTGGAGGCAAAGTGACGACACTCATCTCAACTGGCAATGCTACTAAAACCGAAACGACACTTATCTTCTAGCTAATTTATTCATCTCATACCATAGTAGCAAAAAAGCCAAAAAAAAAAATCATATCAGAGTTACCTGCAAAATTCCCATCCATCGTATCCTTTCTATATCTACACCATAGGTTAAACCAGTTATTCCATGCAAGTAACCCCCTGAAACGAAGCAAATGTGGAATCACAATTGTCCAACAACAGCAAGTTTAGATATCTCATACAAGAAAATGATATACTATGAACAAAATCAGAAGAAAACAGTAGTGTACGAATCTCGTAAAAATCCTAGGATCTTCTAAATACTGTATAGCTTGAATTACTCCTAAAATTATGCATTTTGATTCTCTTTTTGGTTTCTTAGAATATGAACACTTTAGATATTTCAACCCCAATGGCTTGAAGGAATAATTAAGCTGAGGTTCTCTCAGTTGTCTTTTCATTTGTCTTAATTTCGAAATGATATCAGAGCCGGTGTAAAACTTTATCTTCAGTACTAGCAGAGAAGAAACTCCTGTCACTGTGCATCATTCCAGTGACTCTGCAACAATTAATCAAAATCTGCAGGCATTGAGCCTCAACCAATACCACCACTGTGTTTGGAACCCTTCGCAAACCAACCCCTGAAAACCCATTATCATCAGATTATTCACGTGTTGTCACACGCCAGGAAGAAGTTTGATTTTCCGGCGATATTAACCCATCTGATGGCGCATGCGAGGAACTCCAGCTACTTTCTGGTGACATTCGTTCTTCTGTATAACTTGCCTCCTTAACTCGACATCACTCATTCAAGTTCCACTGCTTTCTGACAACTTTCCAACTGAGCAGTCCACTTCTCCGGCGAGTAATGATACATGATTCACAATTTTACATAGGGGAGATAATGGATAGACTTCCTTAGGTATGACATGCAAGCATTTCAGTTGGTTATGTTAGTAAGGATTTTTTGAATACACTAAGGGCGGGAAAGTTTGTTAGTGGCAGTTGGCTTCAGCCAAGTTAGATCTGATCCAAGTACAGCTATTTGGAGAAGAAATCCTCTATTGATTGATCATGAATACATTTATATTTGTCTCAATTGCAATCCTCTACTTCTATATTTCTCTTCCCTCATTTGTCTCAATTACATTTCACTCGAATTCCTCTATAGGTTTCCTGTTTTAGCTTAGATTTCTCGAGCTCCCAGTTGAGCTCCTGCAATTCTGTTAACAGTGATATCAAAGCTATTGAATCCTTGGCATCAATAGCGAAGGGAACTACTATTGGAGAACCAACCAGTGGAACCCCTACTTCATCGTTAGGGGAATTGCGTGAGATGATGCAGAATATGATAGCAGAAATTGGAGATTTAGCAGGTAAAATTTTATCTCTGAAAAATTGGATCAAACAGTACTTGAATTGAAGAATCAATTAGCAGCCTCTGGGGAGACTCGAAGGAATAAAAACCCATTGGAACAGGAGTGAGGTCCTTCCCGTAATGGCCACTAAGAAGAAAGAGTACAAAGGGAGAGAGAAAGGAGTCCTAACAGTTACAGTTCTCAGTTCTCCCCACTAAAATTTCACTCGATGGTCAAGAATGGAGTTCTTGCAATTTAATGGAGAAGATCTGAGGTCATGGTTGTTCAAGATCAAAGAATAGGCATCTCATTATGACGCTCATTCCCTATTCATACAATATCATAATTTGTTGCGTTTTTCAGAGATGCAATTTTCATATTCTATTATCTCATTAAACGTATGCCATCCTTGACTATCATCGACTACCCAAAATATTATGTCTTCTTTCTCTTCCACCTCGTGTCTCTGAGAGCACATGGTTTGTTCACAACCTTACCCCAAAAACAATAAGTTAGTTCCTTGTGCCCTTAAATATGAATTTCTAGGTTACTAGAGGGTACAAAGGGGATGTCGATGCTATTCACTTGATCTTCAGCAGTTCACCAATGCCTTATGTTTGTTAATGTTGATTTCTTTGAAACCCAGCCATTCTTCACAAATCCAAGTTTATCTTTTGAAGATTCAATCACTATCTTCCCCTTCATCATCACCTACAACTCCAATTCCCTTACCTATAGCTCCATTTAATCACCTAAAACTCCAGTTCAACTTTCAACCTTCTACAACTCCGCCACTCTTGATTTATCGTCGTCTTCAACGTCCAACATCACATACAAATGATTCACATCTTATACTGAATCCTTTGCCTACTAGGGACTTGTCTTTCCCTAGTCCACTAATTGCATTCCAAAAGGATATCCAATCCACTCGTAATCCCAATCCCCATTATACTTGTTTGAGCTATCATCGTCTATTATCACTTCATTACGCCTTCGTGTGATCTTTGTCCTCTATTTCTATTCCTAAGTCTACAGGTGAAGCGCTATGTCATCCCGAATGGCAATAGGCCATGATCGAAAAGATGTATTCTTGACATGCTTGTGGTAGTTGGAAGCTTATTAAATCTATTGTTGGTTGTCGGTGGTTGTATGCAGTCAAATTGGTGGACTTAAAGCCTGTCTTGTTGTCAAAAGTTATACTTATTTGGACTTGATTATAGTGATACTTCCTCTCCAGTGGCTAAAATAGAATCTTCTGTCTTCGTATATCCATGATTGTTGTTAGTCATTGGCCTTCTTACAGCTACACGTTAAAAGCTTTTATCCATCGTGATATTGCACAGGGGAGTCTTGTATGCCAGTTGCGTCGGTCCTATATGGTTTGAGATAGTTGCCTCTCAGGATTTGGTATGACTTGCAGTGAGGCTGATCATTTGTATTCTATTGACATACTTCTCATAATTTGTGCTTTTATATGATCGTTTATGTTGATGGTATAGTCATCATGGGCATGATAACAATGGTATAGTGAAATCCCACAAGATGGGTAAGGGAAGGTAGAGTGTATGCAAACCTTACTTCTTCCTCCCCGGGTTGTTTCCAAAAGACCCTCGGTTTTAGAGAAAAACGAGTCTTTTGGGAGACATTATCACAAAATTCGTGGGTCCAATGTTCAACTTATAGATATTTTCACCAAGTTCCTCGTACTAGCTACATTTGTAGCAAAGTTTGGTATATTGATTTATATGAACCAACTTGAGGGGGAGTGTTAGAATCTCGTAGATATTCTACAGTATTTCTAGGATCCTGTAAATGTTGTACATCTTGATTTACTGCTGTACTTGTGTAATTTGATTCTCTTTTCCTTTCTTAGAATATGTACACTTAGTTATTTAAACCCCAATGGCTCGAGGGAATAATCAGTTTCTCTCAATTCTCGTTTTGTTTGTCGTACTTCCTAATAAGAAGAAAAGGTCATCAAGAGCAAAGCATAGAATCCAACAATTTGTATCCTAGCTAAATACATATGTTAGAAGATGTATTTTATTATGTTACTTGGTACCGTAAAATCTTCAATGTTAACTATTTTCTGCTGATGCTTTTCCTCTCAGGAATTAAACTACAGTACCTTCACGAGGAACATTGTCTTCTTGTTGAGCTTCACCTACCTGTAAATTTATATTCTTGTTGATTAAACATCTCTCTTTCTTCATGTTGTTTGCTGTCCATTGTGGAAGGCCTTTAAACTTACCTGGTTTATTTAACTAACTGAAGCTAGCCGACATCGAGAGATTTCTTTACATGCAGCTCCTAGATTGTACAGAAGCTGATGGACCAAGGCTTAAAATGCCAGACAGAAACGAGCTAGCTGGTCTTTTATATGTAGCAAGTTCTCAAGAAGAAAAATGTCCCGTCATTGAACTTCCTTTTATTTGTAAGAACTGAAGCAATATCCTATCTAGTATACCACAAAATTAAAACAGACTCGTTTGTTGCAATGTATGGGTTGTAGAAGGTTCATTTCAAAAGACATATACACAGAGGCTTATAGTTACAGAATATTGTTAAGGGTTGACATCAGTAGTGAGCCGTAATATTGATTTGAGAAACGCCAGCACACAAAATTACCTTGAAGGAAAATGCCAAGGATAAAAAGTTTCAAGGTCCTAATCACAACTTTCATGGTTGCCCCAGTTCTGTCTAAAACTATCTGCAGTTTTGAAAGAGGAAAAGGTTCAGAAAGTGGTAAAAGCAACACAACCACATGGTGACAAGCATGATCTTACAAAGATGATTTAATTATAAAATTGACAGCACATAGTATAGATATCATGATGCAAGTCTGAGCACTATGCATAAGCCTATATCTTTCATAATGATAGAGTTTATGTCCATGATTGTATCTGAAGATCAAAGAATAGATACCTTATTTACAATTGCCACAGAAACCCCAACAACAAAGAGGAAGAAAGGCATTACAAAGTCTGCCAAGCGGACACCATTCCATGGGGAGTGAGCAATGCTGGGAAAAACAGAACCAGCGTAATCCACAAGTATCATAAGCTGAAAGAAGCAAGCAAATTAAAATCATAAGCTTAAAAATGGCGAAACAAAGAAATCAATCCAAACCTTAAAAGCAGGGAGTTAAGTAATAAAAGAAACATCTTTACAACGGAGTTTGAGAATTGTTATCTAAAGGGAGAGATGCAAGTAAGTGTAGTTATTAGCACGAATAGAACAATCTAAAGGTTTCTGAAACTTAAAAGAGGTGACTAATGACATATCTTCTTTGTGAATGTGGTTTCGAGGTCTGATTTTAAAGATTGCTTTGAGATAGATAGTTATTTGACTCTTCTCTCTAGAACCAGGAGAGCATGAGATACAAAAGTGGATCAACAAAGTGATAGCTTTCTGCTAAATTTCTCTAATATTTTCTTCTCTCCATTTGGCCTATTGTACTATCAAGTTTAGTGAAAAAGAAAACAGAAATTCATTTTGCTGTATTCCTTTAGTTTTCTGGACAGGTTAAAAAGCAGAAGAAGACACAGAGAGAAGTCGTGGACTACTGTTTGGATTGGTTTTGGCTCATAAGTTAACGATTTCTAACTTACGGTTTTTGATTTATTTTTGTTATTTTAACTTTAAAAATTATTTTTAAAATTTTATTCAAACACTTTAAAATTATTTAATAGCTATTTTGACTTAAAACACTTAAAAATATGTGTTTATAAGCATTTTTAAACTTTACCAAATACCTAAAAATAGTTTAAAAACATTTAAAATAATTCAATCCAAACGTGCACTAAACCAATTCTAGGCCCGATATACCCGAGAGCAGGAAAAATCCTTCAATCTTCATAACATGCATACGAAATAAAAAATAAAAAATAAAAAATCATGCATACGGACAGAGTTGTGAAGATCAATAGATTCAAAGGTACTAGTGAAATGAAGATCAGGATTGGAATTTCATTTCAAAGCAAACAAAAGAATCAACAGCTTCGTCAAATGTTCAAATTGCAAAAATCTTTTTGAAAAATAGGCGGAATCTTAATCTGTTATCACATCAGCAAACAAAATCGTAAAAAAAATAAATTTGCTTACAAAAACGCAGAGGCCTCGAAAGACATCGAGAGAAACAATACGAGTAGTTTTCGTTTGGGTTGCTTCACTTTCACGCTCAGCTAGCACCACTTCCCCGCCGTTGTTGCTCCCTAATAACGGCTCATTTTCTGCCATTTCTGCGCTCCCAAAGCAGTATCAGACAAATATATAGTATAAATTGCAGTATATATAAAAATTTAAGACGGAGAAAAAGAGAAGTTTATGCTTTGTTACGACAGGGACCAAGTATGAGGGTGGGGCAATTAGTTGAACAACAATATTCCTCAAAAGAGACAAAAATGTATTTAAATCATGTAAAAGAAATAAAAATGTTTATATTTATAATTTAACTGAAAAATATTTTTTTTTTAGTTTTGATTTTAAAATGCCTTTAAATATTGCGAAATAAATATAAAAGCCCTCTACTTATAGTTTGGTTCAAATGCCCTTGCCGTCAATATGTTGCCCAAAAGAAGATCTTACTGTTATTTAATGGGTCAAAAATGCTCATTTTTCAAATAAATATATTATATTTTTAACAATTTTTTTCTAATAGTTTTTTTAAATTAGCAAATGTTTATCTTACTTCAATCCAGAAAAAAAGAAGATATTTCTTCTTTTATTATCATTATTTATCATTAAATAAATATAAATTAATTTTGAATTTTTATGATATATGACATATATTATATGTTGAAAGGGTACATAAAGTTATTCTATTTTAATTGATAAAATGAAATTAAAAAAAATGTATTTTCTACATTTTTATTTGTTAAAGTAATTCTAAAAGAAAGAAACGAGAACAATGTTCATACATAATATTTTAATTAGTGTGTTAAAACAAAAAAAAGTAATTGTTATAAAATAAAGTATGCACAGTAACACATGACTAGAAAAAAAGATAGAAACAAAATAGTAGTAGTAAATAACTTTATCTTTACTTTTTTTCATGTTTTTCTCATCCTAAAGATGAGTATCTTATAGGCTATTTATAAGCCTCATGAAATAAAGTTGGACATACAAATATAATGGCCTCATTATTTACACATAATAGTTAGGTACAAATTGTGGTTCATGGTAATCCACATAGTTTACAATACTCTCCTTAGATGCTCATGTCTTAATAGGTAATGTGTCTAGTTAAAATTTTATTAGAAAAAATTTAATGAAAAAAATTCTAGTGAAGAAAAAACAGTGTACATATCTTGTAAGATGTAATGTGCATTGATAGCTTCCTTATTAAATATCTTTTGGCTAAGAAAAAAAAAGTGCAACGTGTATTATATTTCTCTGATTAAAACGTCACTTAACAATTCAAAAATAACACAATTCAATCTTATATCTCAAAAATATTCAAAGGTTGAAGTTGATAATGCTTTAGTGAATACAGAGTGTTGAATATCGGCTACATCCTTCTTTTGAAGATCATGGATAAGACAAGCTTTGGTAATTTTATTTATCGCACAATAATTCATTTGTTGCCCACTGACATTATATCTTAGTATGTGGGACAAAATAAGTCAAAAACATTACTTTTTCAAGTGAACAGAAAAGTACTTGAATTGTATTTTCTTTGGCCAATCATTTGTCTGTCAACTCTCGACAGATTTAATATCAAGATCCTCATCAATATTTATAATTTTGAGCAGTACATTATATTCAAAATATCGTTGACGATTATTTGATAATGTGACATAAATTTTTAAGCTCACTTTATTTTTCATCATTTCCAGGTACCTGAATCTTTGCCAAAATTTTTATAAAGTGTTATGTCATAATGCTCTTTCTAAAGCACTTGCCTCATTATTATGACCGTCTTGATCATTTACTTTTTTATCTTTTAAATCGATTAATTTATCACGCTTCAAACGTGCCATAAATTATGTCCTTCAAGATATTTTCACTGAAGCATTTATCACTGAATTATAACATAGGGTTAGTGAATGCTACTGACAATTGACTTAAATTATCTCTTCAATGGGGATCATATCAATTACTTATTTTTCAGGCTCTTATCTCCCCCTAATGTTAAAGAGAATCTAACATTCACCTAAACATATTTGGGGACTCATCATTGTGCATTGCATAATGGTGGAGCAACATAATAGTATACCACACATTTAAATTTCTAGATGAGAATTATTTGATTCTTGACCCTGAACGAATTGTGATAAGGGAACCTTGTCGGCTTGATACATACAAGTGTCGCTACACTTTAAATTACACATTTTATACCCATTTTTTTTGGAGTTTTATTATCATATCCAATTATTTAGCTATAATTGGAGGCATATAATTTCTACTTAAACCACTTGGATATATAGCAAAACTATCGATATAGTTTTATAATTTGAAATGTGCTCTTGATTCATCAATTCGAGCAAACAACCTTTACAAAAATCAAAATGCAAGTTGATAGTGAAACACATGTGACTATACATAGATGCATCTATATAATAGTAAATGATCCACATGGCGGGTAAAAGACCCACATTCACCTTTTTATACATTTTAAATTTCTGCAGATACATTGTTAACCTTAGGTGGTAGAATGATAATTTTATCATGAATAAACAACACAAGAAAATTCTTGAAAAATTTCTTATTTTTTCAATCATATGAATTCTCATTTATTTTCGTACCACATTTGAATCGGGTTGATCATCAAATGGTCATGCCAACTGATATTTATTTCAATAAACTTCTATTTTATTTTGCATGTGGTTCCATCATCATGCTCACACTTAGTTACCACAAACAATATGCAAATATGGATAATCATTCACGTAAATATTTATAGCCCACTTTGATTGTAGTAATAATATGAAGATCTTAAATCTTTTCATATTTTGTAGTCTCAATTTTTATTTTCTTTGGTTATCTCTTTAAAACTTAAAAAGTTTTTTCGAGACTTACTACAATTTCAATATCATGAGCAATTTTATTTCTCTGGGTAGTAGCACAATAGCTCACCAAAGCTCATAATCAATATTAGATACTACCACATATTCATAACATTGTTTGTGTGTAAACATCTCTTTCAAGGAGAAATTTATATAATTATTGTCATGGTCAAAATCATTATAAGTAAAACTTGTTTCTTGATTTAATTTTGTCATTACTATCTCCTCCCTTTTGTTTAATATCAAACAAAATATTTTTGACACAAAAAGATACATAATCAATGACAATCTTTTTTTTTTGCGGCAAGAAATTATTTCCTTCTTTTGCCATTTCGGTAGTTCATACTAAAGATATACCACAATATTTGTGATGTATTAAAAGTAATTGACCAGTGACCATTTATACCAACATAATATTTTTTTTTATTTCTCTCTAACCTCCCATAGGAGTGAGCTATGATATTTATCAAATCATTCTTAAAATTTTCATCTTCTCTTGACACATTCTTTTTCAAGAATGGACCACTTTTCATGAGACTTATCACAAGTCACATTCTCTTTAAGGAATTGACTTTAATCATATATTTATTCTTCATAATTATTTCTTTCTTTGGAAGTTCATTGTCATGCTTTGAAATGTATTATAATCATATGACATACCTCAACATCACTTTTAAAATGCAAATGTATCACCGCTTTTTTATCTTTTCTTTGATGGAGGATTTATGAAATCAAATTAGTTTGCATGTACAGTAATTGCGCATCCAATACTTTTCATACAAACTTGATGACAGAAATTATCTTTATTCTTTGAAGGAAAATTTTGAAAACTCATAATGTACTTTTTTCACAATGATGATTATTTTGTCCCTTTACGTCCATACTCATATGTTTAATCATTATCTTGTCATCTTTCATACTTTTAACATATTACTATCATATTCACCTCAAAGAATGGAGCATATTCAATGGGACGATGTTCACATTTCTTTTTTTTAATCAAGAGCATATCAATTTGCTCAGTAATCATTTTATGTTGCATAACACAATATTTTATCCATATAATGGCATGTTAGGTCAAAATATGATGGGATTTGAACCCAAAATCTTATCATCATGGTGCAAAAAAAAAATTCTTTATCTTACCCTTTGGTGCGATGAAGTTTGAATTCACCGTTTCATCCTCAATCAATGACATTATATATAGTCCAAAATGAAGTTCATCCTTGAGCCTTTATAATATCGTTACTTTGTTATATAGAAAAGACATAAAGTAACACTTGAAGTTGTTCTGGATTCACAAAAAGACACCTTAACTATGCGAACATCCTATTATCCCCTAAATAATTTTGATAATATATTATTACATCATTTTTTGATAAATACCAGATTTTAAATATTAAGTGGTTATCACACACCAATCATTGTATAACACGTGTTAATTGAATTTGAGATATATATATGTTTTAAATTTTAAGTTTTCTTTATTTCTTTCTCTTACTTTTTGACTTATTTTAATTTTAATTTCACTTTAAATTCTTTATCTTTCACCCCTACTTTCAAGTTGTCCCTCCCTTCATTTTCTTTTTTTCTATCTTCTTCTTCTTCACCTCTCACCCTCACCTCACCCCACCCCTTCGTCAAGTTGAGCCCCTCCATTTTTTTTCTTCTTCTTCTTCGATCAAATTCCTTTCTTTCAAAATTATACTATTTTCTAGTATTTATGACATTGATAACAAAACTAATAATTTTTCTAAGAAAATTATAATTTTGAAGGTATCATCAATTAATTTATCTCATTTTATATAACTTCAAAACTAGAAATGATAATTTTGTAAGAATCAAAAATCTCCAAAATTGAAAAAATTTAAGTGAAATTTGGATTTCAAAAAATAAATAATACCTACTAATCATCTTGATATCTAGTGGGTTATCAAATTGTTCGAAATGTAATAAAATATTTAAATATAATTTTAAAGTTGAAGAGAGTTAAACTAATAGTAGTAAAAAAAGGAGGTGAAGTTGTGATAAAAATGATATTGAAAGTGAAAAGTTATTATAAAAATGATAATGAATTTTTGAAGAAGAAGGAAAAAGAAAAAAAGAAAATTAATAAAGAAAAAAAGTTAAAATAATAAGAAAAACAAGAAAATATATTTTATAGCAAAATACTTGTAAAAATAAAAATATATTTAGTTTTTAGTTTCTTCACGCTCTTTAAGGGAGTGCATACACTCTTCATGCCAGCTGGACAAAAAAATGATGTAATAATATCAATTCAAGATTGTTTAGGGGGATAATAGGACCTTTACATAGTTTAAGTGTCTTTTTGAAAAATCGAGACAACTTCAGATGTCATTTTATATTTTTTCTCTTCAAAAAATTATATATAAAATATTGCATTTGCTAAACGAAGCAAAGTTGTTCTTCATATGTGTCTCTGAATACTATTTTTAACTTACAAGTTTTATGAATAATTCACTTATTGAAAGATCAACAAATTAATTCTCAACATTGACTTCATTTTGTTGCTAGTTAAAAAATTGCTTTCTCCAATTGTTATTCATAGATAAAGCAACTAGAGGTAAACATTAATAATCACAATAAATA